AAACACAGATAAGCCAACAGATGATGTTTCTTAAATGTTTTAGACATTGCTTTGGAGTTTGAAAAAGGTGCAAGATATTGCTCCGTAAGAGATAAAAGGCAGGAAAGATGAATCATTGCATTAGGGTTTAATAAGAAGAACGGGATCAAAATTCCCAGTAAGGGGCATAGTAACGTCCCAGATATGCTCAAAATTGCCACCTCTGGAAGCAGGAACAGAACGTTATTAGACAAGCCCGCTCCGGTTTATATATCTACGCATTTTAACTGTACTTCTAAAACGATTTATCGACAAAAGTGCCGCTAAACTTTCAACACCCTTTCTCAGAAAGTTCGACCAGGTTCTTCATCAACGAATTTAAATCAGTGAATGTCACCGTGATCTTTAGAAGAGTTGAACAATATAAGTTCTATTAAACAGCACATTTTATTTGCTTGTTTCTTAAGCAAGATTCTTGAGCATATTGTATTAGTAACTTCGTGAGAGCAAACGCTATCTTTAATAAAAACCAGCATGGTTGAGATCTGGCAATTCCTGTAGAGCACGGCCTGTGATACCACGTCAAAACCTATAAAACAAGGAAGACGTTTATGGAAATATATGCAGAAAACAAACCATTTCTTATCCAAGAGAGAACAGAGAGCATTCATTTAATTCCTCTTGGAATGTTTTGAGGTTCTCCTAATTTCTTCCTGTACGAGATTGAATTACAGCTAATGTTCGTCTTTTAACAGACGATTACATTGTTTACAAGTCAGGGTCTGTTTTTACTGGAAACATGCTAAAGTGTTTTATCGGAAAAAGAGAGTATAAACGACAAACGTCACCTCCTGAAGGACACATAAAACAAACAACTGGTTCTTCGTCCTTACAAACATCTTCACCAAGAACGTCAGGAATCATCTTCAAATACGTAATGCTTTGGAATAAAAAACATTAAAATAAGAATCCCCCTCCTACATTGTATATTTTAAGTAATCACATCCAGCGCAAGTTGGTCCTAATTATATGGAAGACGAAACCGATTGATTTGTTGGCATTGTGAAAGGCTTAGGTTGGAATAACGTTGACGGCATACAAACAAGAACAAAGGCAATATTAAGGCGACATAACGACAGGCTGTAAGGTAAGAGAGAGAGAGAGTTTCTGAAGGATACCTATTGCAGTAACATTATCACTCAAAAAGACGATACAATGCGAAACTCGTTGGCAAGAATAAAACTTTTGCATAAGAATAACAAATACAGTTGAGTTTAGCCGTTTGAACGGGGGTAAAATGGCCATGCCCCACAGGAGGAAACACCACTAAGGCAAATTAGGCAAGGATGTCAATACCAATACACAAGGACAACGACGCTTGCAGTTTCGTTATATTCTAATTTGCATTGTGCAACTGTGCATCAGTCTCGGGGATATGTATCTATTAGTATGAATTTCGCCCTCTAATAAGCTTTGTCCAGCAGCAGTGCACGTGTCTCACAGGATGTGTATTTACATATTCAGTTTCGTCTTGATGTTCATTTTGTATATGCGCAAAAATGCTGAAGCTCTATAGCATATAACAAGGGCTAGCAAAGAAACAATTATGTTTAATAAATCGATTAATATTATATTAATTTTATGTAGAATGACATGAATGGGGTACTTACCATACACATTTAAATCATATCACTTCGCATCATCTAATGCCTTTTCGAGATATTGATTTGCGTATACAGCAATTTTAAATATGCCTTAATGTCGTAACAAATGAGTTGTCTTAGCTGGACTGTACATTGCTCCTACAACAGTATCGCTGGTGTGATAATTTTATATAGATAACATGCTCATGTGTATATTAACTATTACGCCAAAATAATAATAAAGAATTATTAATTTGGTAAACGTATAATGTGCTTTCAACATAATCCGGTCATTTAGGACCAAAGAGTAGACCATTTTAAGATGAAATACAGATATACGCATGTTCGAAAGGTTAAGTAAAGTAGAATCCCAAGTACTGTAATAGGTGTACTAAATCATAGATGTTCTCTTGAGAAGAGACCTTGAATGAGAAAATATTCGGTTTTGCAGGACCTCATACTAGACACGATAAAACCATGTCTGATGCAATTTTTGTATTCTTCATTTCGTGGAGCTATTGGAGGATCAAGAAGAAGGATTTTTCATTTAACTTCTTTAACATTGCTTTATCACTGCAAATCAATTTGTACCAAGACATCTGCAAAACAAATTTTCAATTAAATTTTGAAATTCAGAGATATTTTTAATGGTAAGAATGAGCATGAACTGTATTCAGTTCATTTGCTCTGCTCATCTGTACAATTGTGTCATGAAGGTAGGGCATTGTTTTAATTTACTTAATTATAGCTATGTCGCCTGCTATGTGTTCGTGAAGGCCATAGACAAGCGAGCAGACGACAGGGTGCAAATGATGGTGATCATTAAGCTCAATTTGCATTATTGATTGGTTTGGGCACGATTTGAAAATAATCATATTGTTCCAAATGTGGCCTGCAATTATGTCAAAGTGAGTGACACTAAATTATATTGATGGCATGAAATTGAACACGACGTTTTCTTCAATAAAGGACACAGCAATACTTTCCGAGAAAATTACTTTCATCAAAAGCCAGCATCAATCAGCAGAACGCTCAACAGCAACAAATACGTATATTGACATTATTTTACGATTTCACAAGGAAGACCAAAACAGACAACACACCAGAGACACCTACATTATCATTAGTTAACAAAAACAGAATATTTAATACTAACATATTTGTATATAATGTTATATTATTGCTTTGATCAGTGAAGCTTTACAATAATGTTTACCATAAGGCGGACTCTTGTACATTTGTCTACATTAGCCATGTCCGGTAGTTACCCTCTACCAGATGGAAACAGGTAATCGGTTTCATAGTTTGCTTGATTCAACAGCAAAGTTACATTGTAGCGCCGAAGCAAACTCTCATTCTATTCTTCTCCTGAGTGTCCTGTGCGCGGGAACTTTCAGTTTGTAAAGTCAATAACAGAAAAGCTAATAATTATATATTGAAATTGTCAGCTCATCAACAGATACGTAATAACAGAAATAACAGACGCTAACAGTCATCGAAATAGGTGAGCAGATACGACTAATACAAAGACTTCAAGATAATATTTAACAGCGGAGCCTTCACGAACAGAATTAAGCACTGAGGAGCAAAGCAAAACAGATAGCTCAAAAAAAGGCTCATAACAACCAAAATATATAATTAACAGAGATTTAAAACAAAACGATCGTCAAAGACAGCCGAAGCGGAACAGAAAGGTCACAAACTCCCAGAGAGAATAAGAAAATATAATAAACAATCGTGAACGACTGAACTATGACACGTAAACACAATCATCCAGAGACGATAGGAACAGAAATCTTACCAACATAAACTGGAGGACAATGGTATCATTGCATAGATTATAACTACGAAGAGAAGTTCCACTTAAGAGATGTTTGCTTGACATGTTGTTGTATCCATTTCAAAAAAGACAATATAACATGAAAAGGATTTGTTCGGACTTCCCCTGGGACAAGGTATACTTCTTTTATTTTGATAATGTGCATTCGCAATACCTTGATATTAGCAGCAGTGACTATGTCCAAAATTCGAACCCTTGCATTTCTTCCTCATTATTGGTAATTGCTGATTCCTATTTGTTTCAGCATACTCAAATTTTGAACAGGTGTTATTTTTTAACATGCATTCAAAATGTCTCTTACATGGAATACACCTGTAAGAAAATTACTAAAGCAAATATTTCGTCATAGTAACAATGTAAGCAAATTTGATTGCACCTCATGGCAGAAATTATCATAAAAGTCTGGAAAGCTGTCCAGACATCTTACTCCACTACAAAAATATTAGTAATACACTGATACGTATTGCAAACGATCGAAGTTGAGAGAAAATGAGAGCGAGAGCATCATATGGAGAAGATTTGCATGCTTAGACAATGTCTTAGTCAACGACAGCCGTGAACGCTCGGATACATTCCTTTGTCGCCATACAATGTCCAGAAGCTTTGTCCCTGCAAAGCCAATAAACGAATACATATCTGCATACCACTATCATCGATCCTGCCAGATATCCTAATATTCCCTGTCGAGTAAGAACGAAATCTGTTATTCTCCTTGCAAACAGGGTCCGCCGCTTTGTTTGATATAATCCAATATTGGTTGTTATTACGCCTGCGGCATCAACATAGTTATCGTATTATATATACATCAAACTATAGAACATCGATTGTAATTGGAGATTAAATTACCCTACTTATACTGTGTGGTTCACCAGTTGTTAGTCGCTACTGTTACGTATGCTCTTGTGATTATCGTTGTGGTAGAATGGGGGACTGACATAGCCTAGTAGTGTTTGTACCGAACATGCACTATACAACTGTTATTATATCATACTCGAATATGGACAAGCTCTTTTTCGCCACCAATCAGAGCAAGATGAAGCTGTTCTACATATCGTAAAGTGCTGATTATAGAGGACTGACGGTATTGTCCTGTAGTGTGTGTATGCCTGTGTACTACAGCATGAGATATAGCGTAGTCAATATAAACAATTGTGTTTCTCAGACAGAGCTGGAGTAACCAGCAGCGTTATTAGACAGCACGCGTTTTATAGTGAAATAGACGAAAATCTGCAATCACCTTCATCTTGTTATGCGTGTTTCACAAGCACACAATCTGGTATACGTGCATTTTAACATTTCGGTTTTTTTCTGTGTGTGGAGACAGCTTGTGAGTGTGTTCAATTGTTGAAGATGCATCACACAAACCCATGCACAAATGTTACGTACTTGTGTACTATTGGCCGAGCTTGAAACACTTGTTTACAAATATAATCGTGTTCAAATATAATGGTGCATAATATATTTAACTGAATTACATGCGCAAAGGTTAAAGTAACATAAATCATACGATAGAAATGCAGCAAAACAATGTCACTTACCTGGATAAAAGCAGTCGTTAGTATCTAGGAAGTACTAATGTGATGCTTTTAGTAACCCTCCCGTTTAAGTCCAAACAACGGTTAGATACTGTCACAGGTAACTGTCACAGTCCTGGTTACTACTGATACTCACAGCTCAATTGGCGCACTTTGATTTGCTGCTGATGGCACCAGCACGTGGAGGCCTCGTCACCATCGAGAGGAAAATCGATTTTCTATAGCGGCCACATATGACCGTATATCATGTTGTCCATGTAGTTGAATTCAATCATTATTATAGTAGCGGGATTTAACTACTAAAACTTGTTGCTGTATACTTGTATCATTATGTGATCTTTAACAATGAAACAGGTCGGTGGAGGTGGGTTGTACGCTTGAAGCTATGTATCTTAATTAATTTCTTGTTTGTATTGCTTCATCGCACGAATTATTTTCGATACGTTTCAGAGAACACCATTTCAAGATGTTGCTGATAATTACTCAACACTCGAGAGGTATTGACCTTTTCTGGGAAAATTATCTACAGATTATACTAGTATATATACGCCCTAGCAAGCTACTGACAAAATCAATAATTCAAGAAAAAATATGAACATGCTGTCTTTTTGCCCTTTGTTGTAAATGCGTAACTTGGTAATCTATGCATTGGTAACAAACTGGATCCAGGCTTACGTCAGCGACTTAATGTTACCTTTTCAATTTAATTTTCATGGAATAGTCTGTTTATCATGAATATTTTCAAGTTATGTGTCTGATCGTGAGCACTATAAACATTACAGCTTAACGGTATGTGTGGTTCTGTAGGACCTTATTTTGTCGTTCAGACAACCGTGTGACCCTGCAGAACCTTATTTTGTTGATAGGTCGTTCAGACAACCGTGTGACCCTGCATGACCTTATTTTGTTGACAGGTCGTTCAGACAACCGTATGGCCCTGCATGACCTTGCATGACTTTTTTGTTGATATGTCGATCAGACTAGTGTGTGAGCCTTGTATGCCCATATTTAGTTAAATGGCCGTTAAGACTACCGTTTGGAACTGCATAACCATACATTTTGATAATATGTAGGACGTGAAGTCTACCATGAGGCATTGTATGGCCTAATTTTGTTGATAAATAATCAAAACAACCGTGATGTCCTCTAATTTTGTTGATAGGTCATTAAGACTACTGTGTGACCCTGCATGACTTCGTGTCGTTGAAAGGTCGTTAAAACTACTGTGTGGTCCAGCATGACCTTATTTTGCTGATTTTCCATTAAGGCTGCCGTGTGTTCTTGCATGACCTTATTTTTATAGGTAATTAAGACTACCGTGTTGCCCTGTATGACTTTTTTGTAGAGAGGTCGTTAAGACAACCGAACGGCCCTGCATGGACTTATTTTATTGATAGGTCGTTTAGACAACCGTGTGGTCCTGAATGACTTGTTTCTCCGATGGGCCATTCAGACTTCCGTATAGCCATGCATCACCTTATTTTGTTGATGGGCCGTTCAGACTATTGTGTGGCTTTACCCGACCTTATCTTGTTTATTAGCCGTTCAGACTATCGTGTGGCACTACCTGACCTTATTGTGTTGATTTGCCGTTCAGACTATTGTGTGGCATTGTACAGGTGGATTAACTGTTAATTTTGTTATAAATCATAGTTTTATGTAAAAGTNCCTGACCTTATTTTGTTGATTTGCCGTTCAGACTATCGTGTGGCACTACCTGACCTTATTGTGTTGAATTGCCGTTCAGACTATTGTGTGGCATTGCCTGACCTTATTTTGTTGATTTGCCGTTCAGACTATCGTGTGGCATTACCCGACCTTATCTTGTTGATTAGCCGTTCAGACTATCGTGTGGCACTACCTGACCTTATTGTGTTGATTTGCCGTTCAGACTATTGTGTGGCATTGCCTGACCTTATTTTGTTGATTTGCCGTTCAGACT